ATGCTTTCAGATATGCTTCTACATATCGCTGTTAGGTTGCTTTGCCGGGATAATTCCCAAGGCAAGCGTCCACGAAACACGCTCGATTCTACCAGAAGGCCGGAAGGTCTGCGGAAAAGATGGGCGGATTCTGTTTCGGCTCATTACCAGGACAACGAGGACTGTGTGTTCCGCCTGTCGGCGTTGAGGCGCCATCGCGCCGCCCACTACTGGACCAGCTTCCGGGCCGCCGTGGCGTGGGTGTGTGTGTGTGTGTGTTCTCCCTCTCCTTGTCTGCAGCGATCCAGCTGCCTGCGGCGAGGTCCTCCACCGTGTCCCCCCCGCATCACTCAGCGTGGCGACGCTTTGGGGTGCGGTTGCGACTTGACCTGGTCTCCAGCACGCGTAGCCTCTTCGCATGACTCCTCCCGGAGCCTGCTGGTGCCAGCACTACGCCTAAAGATACTCGAGATCCGAGCGCATCTCTCCCCTTTCCTTCTCCGCGACCGCCCTCTTTTTGTTCCGCGCTTGCACAGGTTCAATTTTTAACTAGTCTGCGCTCCAGTCTAGTTCCCGACCGCTTCGTGCCTTCACGAAGCCGCTGACAAAAGGTTGCTAGTAGGCCTGGTGAGGCCTTGTCACATCAGTCCTGCGTTGGCATCGCGACGCCATTGGCTTGAGTTATTTCATCGAGAAGGATCTTCGCAACATGTGCTCCGTCGTCTCGGTAGGCTGATCGCGCCGCAACCTGTTGCCAGCCATACAGGTGGGGTTGTCGCATGTTTTTTCGAAGTTGCAGTCAGGTGATACCGTCGGACCGAGGTCAAAGTGAGGGGGCCGAACGGTCATTCATTGACCTTGGGTGAGTACCTATTATTCCGTGTATACGGAGTCACAGGCGTTTTCTATTCCTGGGTGCTTTCTATATACGGAGTAACATTGTCCTTGGGTGCCTACTACTCCGTGTATCCGATACACGGAGTAATTGGCACCTATTATTCCGTATACGCAAAATCTTCGGAACAATTGTTTACGCTTCGCGAGTCCCAACCAGCCCATCCAAAAGCAGCCGCTCGAAAAAGGAGCGCTGTCCGTAGGGTGTTTTCTCTTCCTTCTCCCTCTATTTGGCTTCGTTCTTCCATCCTCCGCTCCTTCTCCTCGTCCTCGTTGCTCCTTCTCTTCGTCCTCCTCCTCCTCCTCCTCCTGGCGTTGCCGTCGATCTTGGGGCTTTCTTGGGATCTCAGGGAATCCTGGGGCTCTCTTGGGGCTCTCTTGGGGCTCCTTTGGGAGTCTTGAAACCCTCTCGGGGCTCTTTGTGGGAGTTTGGGAGGCCTCTTGGGGCCATCTTGGAGGCCATCGGGCAAAGAAGGAGAGAGCATTGATTGGTGTACCCCCGTCGGGGCCCGAAGTATCGCCTCTTGGAGCCCTCTTGGGCCGTTCTTGGGCGCTTGTTGGGCGCTCTTGGGGGCCGTCTTGGGGCCCTCTTGGGCCGTATTTGCCACCTCTTGGGCCGTCTTGGGGCCCCCTTGGAGCCGTCTTGGAGCCGTCTTGGGAGCCTCTTGGGCCGTCTTGGGGCGGTCTTGCGGGCCTTTTTGGGCTGTCTCGGAGCGTCGGGAAGCCGAAAGGGCGGGAGCGCTAAAATGTTAGAAATACTTTCAGGACGACATATGATTTTGGCCTCGTAGGGGCCCTCTTAGGGTGCTTCTCGGGGCTCTCTTGGAGCGTTTTGGGGGCCTCTTGGGCCGTCTTGGCCTCTCGAGGGCGTCCCTGGGAGGTTCCGCGGCCACTTGGAAACGTCTTGGGGCGGTCTTGGAGCCTCTTGGGGCTCTTTTGGGCCGCTCTTGGGCGCCCCTTGGGCGCTCTTGGGGCCGTCTTGGGGCCCTTTTGGGCCGTATTGGCAGCCGCTTGGGCCCTCTTGGGGCCCTCCTGGGCCGTCTTGGAGCCGTCCTGGGAGCCTATTGGGCCGTCTTGGGGCGGTCTTGCATGCCTTTTGGGCTGTCTTGGAGCGTCGGGGAGCCGAAAGGGCGGGAACGCTAAAAGGTTTGAAATACCTAAGGAAAATCAATGGTTTTGGCTTCTTGGAGCCCTCTTAGGGCGCCTCTCGGGGCTCTCTTGGAGCGTCTTGGGGACCTCTTGGGCCGTCTTAGTTTCTCGGGGGCGTCCTCGGGAGGCTCCGCGGCCACTTGGAGCTGTGTTGTGGCGGTCTTGGAGCCGCTTGGGGCTCTCTTGGGCCGCTCTTGGGCGCCTTTTGGGCGCTCTTGGGGCCGTCTTGGGGCCCTCTTGGGCCGTACTGGCCGCCGCTTGGGCCCTCTTGGGGCGTCTTGGAGCCGTCTTGGGAGCGCTCTTGGGTGCCTTGGGAGCGCTCTTGGGGCCATCTTTGAGGAGACCGGTCAAAGAAGACGACAGCACTTATTTGCCCCCCCCCCTCCCCTCGGGCCACGATCCCTGTGAGGGGTGTCAAAAAATGAGCCTCACAGGGACGGGCAAAGGACGCCCCAGCGACCCGCGCCCCCCCCTCTCCAATCCCAGGGGGAGGGGGTAGGGGGAGGGGTCAAGACCCCCTCCCCGCCCGCAAGCCGTCTCGCTCACTCCCACCCGCCCTCCCAACACA